GCCCCATGAATGGAAAATTAGTCTCAGAGAAAACTGGCTTTATTAAGCTCAGAAATGAAATAGTTATATCTTTTCTCCCCGAGTTAATGGGTTTTTTTTTTTGGTAGACAATAGCACTAGGTACTATTAGTCAGGTAAATTCATGGTTCCCACATGTGCCACAAAATGGCCCTAGTTACAGCAATTTTCTTTAGGGCTTGGGAATGAATGTAAGCAGGAATATGCTAAGACTATATCTATACTGTTATACATTCAATAGTGGGGGCCATAACAATGGAGGTTTTAGTGGTCCAGTGGAACCCATGCATGCTTGTATTTGGGTAAGCGTGGTGACGTTGGCCTCAGACCCCAAGCCAGAGAACATTGCCTGTTTCTTCTTTGTATGAGATTCCTGGTACTTCCGTAACAAATTACCACAAACTAGGTAGCTTAACCAATGAAAATTTACTGTCTCAGAGTTCTTGAGGCTAGAAGTAAACATAAGGTATCAGCAGGGTTGGTGATACCAACCCTTTTGAGGGACTGTCAGTAAGAATCTGTTAAATGCCTCTATTCTAGTTTCTGGTAGTTCATTAGCAATATTTGCTGTTCCTTGGCTTGGGGATGCTGCACTCTGGTCTCTGCTTTCATCCTCAACAACGTTTTCTCTGTGTGCTTGTCTCTTATCTATATATCCTGTTTTTATAAGGATATTATTCATACTGGACTAAAGCTCACTATAATGATCTCATTTTTACTTGATTACCTTTGTAAAGACCCTATTTCCAAATAAAATCATGTTCTGAGGCACTATGTGGGGAAGATGGGGGCACAATTCAACCTATAACAGTCTACTCCATGATCTCCGAATATTCATCGTCTTCCCATATGCAAAATGCATTCACTCCATCACAACATCTCCAAAAATTCAACGCTAATTCCAAAATCTTCTCTAAGCATCATCAACTCAAAGTTCCAAATTTCATCATTTAGATCATTCAGATAGTTATGGGAAAGACTTCGGGTATGATTCATTCTGTGCAAAAATTCTATTCATTTATGAACCTGTAAAACCAAATGTCACATTATCTGCTTCCAAAATGCAATGGGCAGGCATAGGACAGACATTGCTATTGCTAAAGGGAAAAACTGGAAGGGAAGAAAAGGGGTCACAAGTCCCAAACAAATTCCGAATCTGGCAGGGTAAATTTCATTAGATTTTAAGACTTGAACGTAGTCCTCTTGGCTCAGTGCCCTGTCCTCTGGGCCTAGTGGGGTATGGCCCTGCCTCCTTCAATCCGGGTGGTGGCCCATCTCTTCAAACAGAAGAGGCAACATCCCAGCCCTTTGGCCTGTGTCTTCTGGGCTCTTGGTTACAGTGGAAGCCCCATTGGCATTTGAATTATCCTTAGGGTCATTGTTTCTTTTTCTTGATGGATAACACAATTGCAGCAGAATAGTTCTATAGACCCGTTTCCTGTCTATAGAATCTTAGCAATCTGATTTTATTTTAATCTAAAATAAAATCTGTTTTATCCTTTCTCTGTCCCTTTAGTTCAGGTTGTCAGGATGTTTGCTGAGATGGTTGATTAGATCCACAATTCATATATCTATTTAGCAAATAGTGGTGCAGGTGCAATCTCGGCTCACTACAACCTCTGCCTCCTGGGTTCAAGCAATTCTCCTGCCTCAGCCTCTAGAGCAGCTGGGAATACAGGCATCTGCCACCACACCCAGCTAATTTTTGTATTTTTAGTAAAGACGGGGTTTCACTGTGTTGGCCAGGCTGGTCTCAAACTCCTGACCCTGTGATCCACCTGCCTTAGCCTCCCAAAGTGCTGGGATTACAGGCATGAGCCACCTCACCTGGCCTACAGTGTGCTTTCTTATTTTTTTCAATACTGATAGGCTGAAGATTTTGTGAATTTTCATATTCTGTTTTCTTTTTGCTTAACAATTCCCTTTTTGATTTATCCCCTTCCCTCTTGCCTCTTACTATAACAGAAAAGATAAACCAAGATGTGCCTTAAACACTTTACTTAGAATCTTCTCAGGTAAATATCCAAGTTCATTGCTTTCAAATTTTACTTCCACCCCACAGACATAATTCAGACAAGCTCTGTGCCATTTTATAACAAAGATCACCTCTCTTCCAGTTTCCAATAATGTGTTCTTCATTTCCATCTGAGACCTCACTAGAAGCACCTTTAACATTCATATTTCTATCGACATTCTGTTCATGACACTATATGTGTATATCTAAGATGAGAGAAGCTTTCTCTGTAGTTCTTCCCTTTTCTTTCTGAGCCTTCACCAGAAACACCTTCAAAATCCGTATTTCTACCAGCAATCTCTTCAAGGTAATCTAAGTTTTTTCTATCATACACCTCAAAACTCTTGCAGCCTCTACCCGTTACCCAATTCCAAAGTCGTTTCCACATTTTGAAGTATTTGTTACAGCAACGATCCACTTCCCAGTCGTAGGGTTACTCTTACAAAGTATCCACAATTTGGGTGGCTTTAACAACAAAAAATTATAGTCGGTGGGATAGAAGTCTGGGATCAAGCTGTTGACAGGGTTGGTTCCTTCTGAGAACTAGAGGGAAAATCAATTCCATGCCTCCATGTGGGTTGCTATTTTTAACATTCCCTGACTTCCATATGCATCACTTCAATCTCTGCCTTCAGCTTCACATGGCATTTTCCCAGTGTATATGGGTGCTCCAATTTTCTGTTTTTACAATGACAACATTTATATGGAATTAGGACCCACTTTAATGACCTCATTTTCATTTATCTCTCTAAAGTTCCTATTTCCAAATAAGATCAAATTCTGAGATACTGTGAGGGTTAGGACTTCAACTTATCTTTTACAGAGGGCACAATTCAACCTGTAACCCTCCCATGATAGTGTTAGGGATTATGGAGATCACAGTTGTGCACCAAATCCAAGAGGCCCAAGAAATGCAGTTCTCGTCTATATCACTTGTTATATGACCATTGTTCTTCATAGGGCCATATGGACCTGGGCCTGATCCTTAGTCTTGTTTAGTTTTGAAAGCTGAGACATCTGGTTAATAGTTGAATGGGAGTCTCCAGTTCACCTCCAGATTCACTGCGAGGAGCAAAAGGAATAGCTCTTTTATTAATCAGGATCCATTACCTTGTAGACTCTACTAGAGCACCCTGTAGGGCTCCCTAGCTCACTACCTTGCCATGAGTTCCTTGGTGGGAGAGTCCATCACTCTTCTCTTTGAGAACCCACTCTTAAGTAACCAGAACCAGAGATCTTGTTGCAAAAGTGCTTGTGCAGATGGTCCTGGAGAGAGTGCAGGATTACCAGTTTACATCACTCTTTCTGCCAGCAAGTTGTTGCTATCTGTGCAGTAGCTACTTTCTCTATTCTGATGATTTATCATCAGTGAATATCTGGATTGTGTCACAGAGTGATCAGCATGGCCTTATGAGGAGGTTTAATTGTGTTCAATAACCAGTAGGAGTAAAATGAATGAACCTAAAAAACCGAGTCTCATTAACAGTCTCATCTACCCCACCATGTGTATGTGAATCCTGACTCTCAAAGCACCAACCAATTTATGCATTTGCTCTATTCTATAATACCTTGAAACTTTGCAAAATTGCTGAGCAGACACTACTACATAAACAAACCTACTAAAAAGATTTCAGGATTTGTTTGCAGTTTGTCCCCCAACACTCTTGCCCAAGATTAAGGCTGTTTCAAATACTGTATTTATTAGTTACATGGATTAGTACTTGGTTTTTTTTTTCCCATATAGTAGGTTTATTTTATTAAGTTTCCTTTGAGTTTTAGTTCCCACTTATCCTCACCGAATTAATTTTATTTTAAAAATATTGTATTCATGCATTTTGCATTGCTGTAAAGAAATACCTGAGGCTGGGTAATTTATAAAGAAAAGAGGTTTATTTGGCTCATGGTTTTTCAGGCTGTACAAACCAAAGTACATCATCATCTGTTCAGCTTCCGATGAGGCCTCAGGAAGCTTTTAGTTATGGCAGAAGGGAAGGGGAGCCAGCGTGTCACATGGCACGGGGGACATCCGAAAATTTTTTCCAACAAACAGATCTTACATGAACTCATTACCACAGAGAGGGCACCGAACCATTTGTGAAGGATCTGCCCCCATGACCCAAACACCTCCCACCAGGCAACACCTCCAACCTTAGGGATCACATTTCAACAAGAGATTTGGAGGGTACACACATCCAAACCATCCAAGATGTAGAACACTAAGCGACTTCCAAAAGTAAATATTATGCAAGAGATATTCTTAGAAGAATATAATTTCTGCCACAGTCCTTCTCTTTTATTCCCGTCCTTGTTCCTACCCCGTTGTCTTGTAGATAACCAACTACAGTGTTTTCTTGCTTATTTTACCTGTGTCTCATTTTGAAAAGGTTGATTTTCTCTATTTCTATTTTTTTCTGATTAGTTATTTCTGACCCAAAAGTTACCATACTAGATATCCTGTTTTTAAGATTTTTTTTCACTTAACATGATCTTCTAGAAATTTCTCCATGATAATTTATAGAAACCTTTATTATTTTTACATAATATGTATAGTATTATGTATAGTGATATGTATTTATATCATGATTTATAGTATATATCTTTGTTTATTGAGCCAATCTCCTATACTTGAATATTTAGATGTGCTGAATATTTTGCAATTACAAATAATATGGTAATGAATAATGTGCATTTGAATTTTTATTGTTTGGTCTATTATTATTTATTAACCTATGTAAATAACCCATGAATTCTGAATACCAATAGGAAACATATTTGATGCCTTAAAATATTTATGGTATAATGAGACAGCTTCTGTAACACCCATTAAAACCATTTTTATCATTTTCATGTCAGATTTCAATTATGGTAATTTACTTATAATTTTATAAAAATGAGAAAAAAAGAGAATTCACAGATTTGTTTTCTCATTGTGGACTAAATACATCTCTTTATGCGACTCATTTTGTAGTTCCAGATAAAAATCCTATGTTGGTTCATCAAGAGTCAGTCTCAAAACTCCAAATGCAAGAAAAGAAGAAAATAAGTCCTGGAAAGGAAAGGCATAACAGTAAGTGCAGTGATTATAGATAACTTTAAATTATTTTAAAATGAAACTTATCAAAAGATATTTTTCTTTAATTCTTGAATGTGTATTTTAGCATATATTTTAGGGAAATAGTAGACTTTGCCCTGAACTATGAACACCTTAAGATAAAGAGAACAAAAATGAAAGTGTTAACTTCACACGGAATTTCTGGTCATAAGATTATTTCACAGCCATTGAGCATGCACTCAAAAGGCCCAACAATTGGCCTACAGTGTTTCAAAGAATGTACCTTTCAGCTGACTCTGGGAGATTACAGTTTCCAGGAGATTATACCCAATGATCACTTATCACGTGTAGTGATGTTCTTCCCTAGGGTTCAGTCAACAAATTGAGAGGTTGTTGAGATCTGTAACTCAGACAGCAAGTGGGAATTACAGGAGCCAAGAAGAAGGATAGTCCTGAAAGCTTGTTGGTTAGCCATGGGACATTTTGTTGATTGAGTGCCACACAAAGGTAAGGTCTTCTTGGTAACCTCATAGATGGGTGCCATCAAGTTTCTTGTGTGGTAGGGAATGTTAAAGTGTCCATAGCCAGCAATGGCTGGGCTTCCTTTTTGTTTTAGGGGATTGAGAGGACCAAAGGGTAGGCATCATTTCCTCTGGAATGTGATGTGACCCTTTTCAAATTATAACACAGGAATTTCACCTGAGTGCGAGGTCTTTGTGCCTTGTATGTACTAATGGCCAAGATAGTCTTAATTGGTTCGTGCCTGTGTTTGGATCCACCAGGAAATCTTCAATATAGTAGAAGGCTAGTGTTCCCTCCAAGAGCAGGAATTTTTCCAGGATATGCCCTATCCATGAATGACAGGTAGTTGGGGAATTTAAGTAGTCTTGTTGAAGGACATTAGTGGTATATTGCAATCTATTCCACATAAGAATAAACTGATTCTTATCATTGGTGTGAAGAGGGATGCCGAAAAGGGAATTTTGTGTATCAATTTTTGTATATTAAGTTCTTTTCTTTTGGGCAATAGCCTCTATGACAGTCACAAAGTCAGGTACTGCCAGCACCCAGGGCTGCATTATGGCGTTGAGCAGCCAGTGAGGCTGTATGCGTCTGAGGTATGTGCACAGGCCAGATGGAGCTGATTAATGAAGGATTAGTCTCACAGAAAACTTTGCCATCCTTAAGTACAACAGTGAAGACATTTATTTCCTTTTACCCCAAGTAATCAGTATTGTTTTGAGAAACAGTACAAGGTAGTCAGATAGGATTGTGACCTTTCACATGCCCCACTAAAATGGCCCTAATTGAGCAATTTTCTTCAGTGCTTGTGGGCAAAGGCGAGCAGGTATTCCCTTAATGATACGTTTATAACATAATACATTGAGTAATGTGCACTATAACAATAGAGTTTGTAATTGGCCAAAGAGGCCCACCATAGTTGGGTCTAGATAAGGTTCCCATTGGTGGTGACTTCAGACTTCAAACTAGAGAGAATTATCAGTTTCCCTTTCATTCCGATGCTGGGGTATATGTTCACAGTCACTTATGTACCAGTATCCAAAAGGCCCAAGAAATATAATTATCCCCACCTTCCCATTTAACTCTGACCCTGGTCCCCACTGGGGATTTGAGGACTTGGCTTAACTTCTGGTCTTGTTCGTTGTTGAAGGGTGAGAGTTCTCAGTAAAAATTAGAGGGGCTCATCAATTCATCTCCAAATTCACCAGGGAGGGGTGGAGAGAGTAACATTTTATTAATCATAGGATCCTCAATGTGCTGACCCTAGTAGGGCCCATGAATTTCATTGTAGCCAGACCTAGAGATTGTCTCCAGAGGCATCATCCAGGAGAGGGTGCTTGATTGTCATTTTATTCGGTTGTGGAAAAGCAATTGCAGTTTTTGCCATTAGATTGCTTTTGCACCAACCTAATACATCACTTTCCTGCTGGTCTGTTTTTTCTACCTCAGGAGCAGCTGCTTTTCCCATGCCTGAAAAGTTTTCAGTTAAGTTCTGGATTTTGTCACAGAACATATGACCTGACCTTGTGAGTCTGATTGAATTGGAAAATAGGCAAGAGTGGCATGAAAGAACCTAGAAATCTGAGTCTGGTCAACTATCTCCTCTACTATTCTTACTCTTCATTGTAGAACTAAGGGACTACCAGGGTTGTGATTCACAGGGCTACGATAACCTCTGCAAGGATGGTCCGAACATAATTTTAGTGGTAGGCTCGTCACGGGTAAGCCAAAGCTCTCAAAGGTCGAGCAATTAGCAAGCTGAGGAATGAGGCAGTCTCAAGCTGGCATCTCATACATCCCCTTTCCTTCTCCCCCTTGAGTGAAGCTTCTCTGTCATTACATTCTGAAGGAGGGTTCTGTAGTGACTCGCCCCACAAGGTACCAATTTTTCTTTTTTCTTTTTCTTTCTTTTTTTTTTTTTTGAGACGGAGTTTCGCTCTTGTTACCCAGGCTGGAGTGCAATGGCACGATCTCGGCTCACCGCAACCTCTGCCTCCTGGGTTCAGGCAATTCTCCTGCCTCAGCCTCCTGAGTAGCTGGGATTACAGGCACGCACCACCATCCCCAGCTAATTTTTTTGTATTTTTAGTAGAGACGGGGTTTCACCATGTTGACCAGGATGGTCTCGATCTCTTGACCTCGTGATCCACCCACCTCGGCCTCCCAAAGTGCTGGGATTACAGGCTTGAGCCACCGGGCCCGGCCTAAGGTACCAATTTTTCTAACAAAGTTTAAGAGTACATAAGGCTCTATGTTGCCTTCAGTAGGTAGGTAAAGTGATCTCTGAAGGTTCTATGTTTCTTTTTGTTTTTTGGGTGTTTTTTGAGAAGGAGTCTCACTCTGTCTCCCAGGCTGGAGTACAGTAGCATGATCTCAGCTCACTGCAACTTCCACCTCCCTAGTTCAAGCAATTCTCTTGCCTCAGCCTCTTGAGTAGCTAGGATTACAGGTGCTCACCACCATGCCTGGCTAATTTTTGTATTTTTAGTATAAATGGGGTTTCACCATGGCTGGTCTCAAGCTCCTGATCTCGTGATCCGACTGCCTCAGCCTTCCGAAGTGCTGGGATTACAAGCATGAGCCACTGTGCCTGGCCTAGTTCTGCATTAAAAAAAAAAAATCCCTTATAATTAAACCATGAGTCTCAATACTTTGCTGGGACATAGGCGGTCTGTCATTGCCTGGTAGCTGTTTAGAACTAACAGCAGTCATTGGGTACAAATTACCTCACAGATTTTGTCCCATCTCCACATCATTATATACTGTAATTAATATTATACCATTGTTTATGGTATATATATCTGTTCATTTGACCAATCTCCTATGTGTGAAAATCTCAATGGTTTTGAATATTTTTCAATTACAAGTAATGCTATAATGAATGATCTTGTGCATATGCACTTTCATTGTTTGGTCTATAATTATATACTAAGCTAAAGTATAAATTATCATGCATTATGTAAATATTTTGAGTATGTATTAAAGTATAAACTCATGAATCCTGGAGACCAATATAAACTTTATTTGATGCTTCAGAATATTTATGAAATAAAGGATTAGCTTCCACAACAGTCATTAAAATTATTCTATTTTTGTGTCAGATCTAGCATTATTGTAATTTACTTACAACTTTATAAAAATAAGATAAAATGTACATGTTATATATTCATAGATTTATTTTTCCATTTGGTGGACTAAATGCATCTCTTGATCTAGCTCACTTTGTAGTGCGAAATGAAAATGTGACTTTTGTTCATCAAGATTCAGAGTCAAAACTCCAAATGCAAGATAAGAAACAAATACATTTTGGAGTAGAAAGGCGCAAAAGTAAGTATAATAATTATAGATAACTTTAAATTATTTTATATTGAACTCATCAGATATTTTCCTTTGAATCACCAATATGTACATCAGACTATATTTGATCAACTTTTAGCTTTGATCTAAAGTGTGAATACCCTATGATAACTAGAGAACAAAAGTATTGTATTGATACCTTTTGGTTGGTATTTGGATGGTCATTAATTACTAAGTAGCATCACTGCCGTCACAGCTGCTCCTGAAAGCTAAGCTATTCACATGATTTTCTCATTTTACTTTCATGGGTGGAAAGTCTGATGATTACTTGGCATATCCAGAAGTTCTATTGCACATTTTTTTTTTTCTATTTAGCATTTCCTTTTGAAACCCGAAAAAAGGATATATTACTTGAACATCTATTGCCTGAGGAGAAAGTTTTATTATCAAGAAGCCAATCTCAAACCAAGAAACTTCAAGCTAAAGTAATTTCAATAAAAAGTAAGTAATTATTTATAAACCTTATAAATTATTTTTATTAAATTCAGGAGAAATATGTTTTTGGTTTATAAATATGCCTTCAACCATGTGCTTCTTTTGCTAATTAGTTCCATCACACTACCAGATCTTTCTTGATGACTTATTTGTTTATTTTACAATTACTGAGTTACATGTGTCAAATCTCCCACTTCATGGATTTCTCTATTTCTTCTTATATTAGTGTCAGCTTTGGCTTTATATCTTATAATGCTCTATTTTTATTTTTGTGCTTGTAAACTTCAAATTTATATTCTTCAAAGACAGAAACAGTTTTTTTCTTATGAAAGGAGTCACTTCATCATTTTTATAATTTTTGTTTATTTTCCTTAATAAGTACTTCATCTGTTATTAAGGCTTCACAGACCTTCTTCTGGTTGGTATTTGCCTGATACATTTTTTCTATCCTATTAGTTTAACTTCTTTGTTTCTTTATTATGTTGCTATGCCTATTGTAAGAAACTTATAATTGTGTATACTCTTTTTTAAAGCAGCTTTTATTTTAAATTCTGGGGTACGTGTGCAGGATGTACAGGTTTGTTACATAGGTAAATGTGTGCCATGGTAGTTTGCTGCACAGATCAACACATTATCCAGATATTAAGCCCAGCACCCATTAGCTATTCCTCCTGATGTCCCCTCCTCCTGTCCCCAACTCCAGGCCTCAGTGTGTGGTGTACTCCCACTTGTCCATGTGTTCTCACTGTTCAGCTGCCACTTATAAGTGAGAACATGTGGTGTTTGGTTTTCTGTTTCTGCATTAGTTTGCTGAGGATAACAGCTTCCAGCTTCATTCATGTCCTGCAAAGGACATGATCTTGTTTCTTTTCATGGCTGCATATTATTCCATGTTGTATATGCTCATTTTTAGTCAAATTTCTAAAATTATCTCTTATAACTATATATGGTTTAATTATTGATTTTTTTTAGGTGTAACTATACCATTTTTCTTGGATTCTCCTGTTTTTCCTACTTGGTATGTTTCTTTCATTCTCTTTCTACTCTATTTTTTCTCATTATACACTTTTCCTTAGCAACATTTGGTACCAAAAATTTTAAAGTTTACTTAAAGTGTGAATACAATAAGAAAAATAAGGACAAATTTCAAATATACAAGTATTTATACTAATGTTTATAGTAGTAAATAAAATAATGTTTATAAATAAAATGTATTTAATACCCATGTATATAAAAATTAACAAGATGGCTTTTATATGTACAAGTGGAAAATGTATTTATATGTTTATATTTTAACTAGACACCGATTTGCTTATCTCATTAAAAATAAGACAAAATATTGTTGAGTAATTAACATATATTGTGAATCTAAAGGTTCCACCATAAATAAGTTCTCTAGTGATTTTCAGTCTTTCTTCTTGTAGTCCAGATAAAGATAAGGTATCAGATGAAACTCTTTTGTCTGCAACTGGAGCTGCTATAAAGAAGACATTCTATAGTAAATATGGAAAGAATTAATATTATTAAATTGTTTGGAATTACATTAATTAAATTTTAATTAAGCACAATTTTATTCATGGATATGTACTCTGCTACAATGTTATAGACATCCATTGAACTCATTTTTTGTTATGTCATTAAAATTTATTTCTTGATTTCCTTGAATCTTGATTATTTATCAATTATTGAGAGATGTATACTAAATTATCCCACTATGTGGATTTAACTATTTCTCCTTATAGTTGTGTTCATTTTCCTTATACTGTCTACATTATTAGTGTATACAAATAAAAACTCAGATTTTTTTAATGAACTCAACCTTTTATTTTTATGAAAGGGATCATCTTAGCCTTTAGTAAGGTCTTTTGACTAAAAATCTATTTTGTCTGACATTGACGTAACTACTACAGAGTGATTTTGGTTAGTGTTTGCATTTTTTCAGTCATATCTCTAATAACTTACAGTTAAATTGTTTATTATTTCAATGTGTCTGCCTTTTCCTAGAATATGTAGTCCATTTACAATTATTGTGCTTACTGATATATTCGGATTTAAATATTTTGGGTGGGGGTGATTTTTAATTTTTTTTTTATCTGATTTGGATTACTTTCTATTTTCTTTCCTTATTTTGAAATTACTACTTTTTATCAGTTCAATTATTCAGTGTGTCACGTATGTTATAAAAACTTTTTAAAATATGAATACACTTAGTAAAATAAAGTCTAATTTCAACTTTCTAAGTGTATGTATGAAGTAGCAAGAGTGCCTCCACATACTTTCAGGAAAAGTACTCTGATGATTTTTGTATTTACTTTCATGATTCGTTTTGAAAATGTATTAGAGGTTTTATTGTATGACATTTATTTAAATTGTATTGACTAGTGTAAAGCCTTTTAAAACTTATAGGAAACTTTGAATGGTCCTTTCTATATATTAATAATCCAGAGGCTTCACAATAAAGCTTTTTCATTTTTTTAAAGCCTTTTTTTTTTAACTGAGAAAATAGATGAAATAGCAGATGAAAATCTTTCACCTTAAATAAAGTTTTAATTTTAAAAAGCTCATGTCAAATTACAAAACTTAGTAGTTGCAGAAAAGTGAGATTTCAAAGTAAATATAATAATAAAGAATATTGTATAATTATTGTAATTAAATTTCTCTCTTTAGTTTATATGTTCAGTTATAAATATTTTTATGTGTCATGTATACATATATGTGTGTGTATAGAAAACATATGTGTGTATGTACATTCTCTATTGTCATTATATTTTTCATGTGTTCTTAGCTTCATTGAGGTTCTGTTTATCATTTATGAGAAAGGTATTTCAAATTCTACTGTGATTATTTCTCTATCTCTTTGTAGTTCTGCCAATTTTTGTTCTATGTTTTAAAATATACTTTATTATATACATAGAGATTTTAAATTGTTAAATTTTCTTAAGAGCACTGAAACTCTTGTCTTCATGATGGACATTTTTAAAAATAGACTTTATTTTTAGAGCAGTCTCATGTTCACAGTAAATTAGAGAGGAAGACAGAGATTTTTCATGTAGCCTCACCCACAATATGATGGATACTTTGTAGTAACTTTTGTTGCCGTTAATCTGTCAGATATTAACATAGCATCTTTTTAATGTAAGTATTTGCAGAACACAGTTTTTAGCATTATACTTTCACCTTTTTGTATTATTATGGCTTAGCTGTATCATATATGTTAAATGTATTATAGTTATTTTTTAAATTCAGTGTGGCAATCTTTCTATTGCAAATATAACATTTAATACATTTACATTTAATGTAAATACCGATATTTTGTGAGTTAATATACCATCACTTATGTTTTCTGTATTTCTTGCCTGATGTATTTTTGGATCTCCTTTTAAAGTTTTGTTAATGTGCTTTTTATCATTTTTATTACCCACATCTGTTATAAAAATTTTACTTAATTTTAAAATATGAATACCTTATAAAACAATTTTCTTGAAAAGTTTTATATTTTTACACTTCACATACTCAGTCTATAATTCACTGTCTCAACAATGTGGTATTTGAGTATATTATTTCAAAACATGAGAGGATATATTGCTGGATAATTGATATGTATTTTGAATTAAAGAGGTTTTTTGATAAATTTGTTGGTCCATTTAACGGATTAAAAGCATCTTTTTTTGTAGCTCAGAAAGTGGAAGATGTGTTAGATGAAAATTTTTTACCTGAGGATAAAGTTGCATTTTCAAAAAGAAAATCTCAAGCTAAGATATTTGGAGCTAACAAAATGGAAACACTAAGTAGTAAGTATAATAATTTTCAATATCATTGATTTTTTTAAATTAGAGTAAGCTGAAGAATTTTGTTCGTAGGTTTGTGACTCTTTAGTCAACATATCTTTCTTATACATTTATTAAATCAAATGTGTTTATTGTTCTGTTCAGTTATTTTTTCATTGAGGTTTTTCTGTTTATTCTATATTACTAAGAGATATATGTTAATTTCTCCCACTGTGATTATGGATTTCTCTATGTCTTATGGTAGTTCTGTCAAATCAGTTTTTATATTTGGAAACTATCTTATTTATTTATTGTGTACAAATTTATACTTTTAACCTGGTAAATGGAGACTGTCTCTTAATCTCTGAAAATACATTTTGTCTTATGCAAATCAAAACCATAGTGAGATACCATTTCACACCAGTCAGAATGGCTGTTACTTAAAAGTCAAAAAGCAACAGATGCTGGTAAGGTTGCTGTTGCAATCAGTTTGCCAGCATTTTATTGAAGATTTTTGCATCTGTGTTCATCATGGATATTGGCCTGAAGTTTTCTTTTCTTGTTGAGTCTCTGCTGGGTTTTGGTATCAGGATGATGTTGGTCTCATAAAATGATTTGGGAAGGATTCCTTCTTTTTGGATTGTTTGGAATAGTTTCAGGAATAGTACCAGCTCCTCTGTATGTCTGGTAGAATTTGGCTGTGAATCCGTCTGGACCTGGGTTTTTTTTTTGGTGGGTAGGCTAATTGCTGCCTCAACTTCATCCCTTGTTATTGGTATATTCTGGGTTTTGATTTCTTCCTGGTTTAGGCTTGGGCAGGTGCAAGTGTCCAGGAATTTATCCATTTCTTCTAGGTTTACTGGTTTATGTGCATAGAGTTGTTTATAGTAATCTCTGATGGTAGTTTGTATTTCTGTGGAATCTGTGGTGATATCCTCTTTATCGTTTTTTGTTGTATCTATTTGATTATTCTCTCTTTTCTTTTTTATTAATCTGGCTAGTGGTCTCTTTTGTTGATCTTTTCAAAAAACCAGCTCCTGGATTTATTGATTTTTTGAAGGGATTTTTGTGTCTCTATCTCCTATCTTAGTTATTTATTGTTTTCTGCTAGCTTTTGGGTTTTTTTGGATCTTGCTCCTCTAGCTCTTTCAATTTTAATGATAGGATGTTAATTTTAGATCTTTCCTTGCTTCTCATGTGGGCATTCATTGCTAGTCAAAATTATTTTAAATTTACAGT